TGTTTCTGCCTTATTGTTTAATGCTGTCATTAAAAGGACATTCTTTGGAGCCTCTGTTCTTCCTCTCTGAACTGGGAATGGTATCTCGCCCATCCATTTCACCACATCATTGAGTCAAATGTCATCACGTACTTGAAAATATTTTTAAAATTGTAACACACGGACTAAATGTATGATCAGTATCATTGTCACCGAGAAGTTAATCATCTGCTTTAGTTTCCTATCCACAAGGTGAATAGAATGAAATATGATCTTCTCCCCATTCTCATCAAAACACTGGCAAAACATCTGTGATAATATTTAAAGTCACCCAGCTTGGGGAGAGAGGAGGAGAGGTCAGGCTGGAATCTGTTGTGTAAACAATGGCCAGTTATGTAACAAATACCCATTGGGTGGCTACTCCTTACAGGCACCTAAAGGAGGTGCTGGCCATACTGCAATCAAGAAACGGCCCTTGTTTTTAAGGAGCTTACCGTCTAAAACTGGTTTTCAATGTTATTTATCTCACAGCACACTTGAACCTGTAGTTAAACTTCCACGGCACACTTAAATTATGTTGATCAAAAAAAAAAGAGTAAAAAAAAGAATATACTTATTATGCTTTGAACTTCTTTCAAAAATAATTTAATTAATGATCTTTAAAAATTTTCAAGGCATACCTAACATCCTTTCACGGTATGCCAGTGTGTGATAGGACACTGTTTGAAAATCACTGATCTAGAGCAGGGGTCCTCAAACTTGTTAAACAGGGGGCCAGTTCACTGTCTCTCAGACCGTTGGAGGGCAGGACTGAGGGCCCTGGGACGAGTCAGCTACTAAGCAGGACAGGCAGCGGTGGCAAAAACGCCCGGTGGGCCGGATAAATGTTCTAGGCGGGCCGCATGTGGCCCGTGGGCCGTAGTTTGAGAACGCCTGATCTAGAGGAACATTATGGACACGTGAAAAGTCTCTCTTATTAGAGTTGATTAAGCGGTAAAATTGGAGGGAGTAACCAAGGTGTGCTCAGGTCACATGGGGTGGTGATGCAGCCCGGTGGTGAAGATCATGGAGTCTGCGTTTGACTGCTTGGGTCTGGATCTGGACCACTTACTGCCGTCCAAACTCAGAAAAGTTATTAAGTTTCCTGTGCTTCAGTTTCCTTGGTAAAAGAATAATAGCTTACTGTAGTCACTTCATTGACCTTTGAAATCCTCGAGCCTTTTGTTACTAGGGCTGCTGTAACAAAGTTATCACAGACTGTGTAGTTTAAACAACAGGATGGTTCCAGAAGCCTGAGTTTGGGATGAAGGCGTTGGCAGGATCGGTCTCTTCCGAGGCCTCTCTTTGCTATCAAATGGCTGCCTTCTCTCTGTGTCTTCACATGGTCATCCCTGTGTGTGTGTCTATGCCAAAATTTCATTTTATTATAAGGACAACAGTCATCATTGGATTAAGTTTCACCCAAATTATCTCATTGAATTGCCAATTGAAAGACCCTGTCTCCAAATACAGTCACTTTCTTAGGTTCTGAGAGTTGGGATGCCAGCACGTGAATTTGGGGAGGTACAATTCATCCCATAATACCAACCTTAGAGCATTATAGAAGAACTCAAGAGACAAAACAGGTAAGACATTTAGCATAATGTCTAGAACACAGAATAAACACTCACTAAGTATGAGATATTATCAAATGGCGCTGTGGAACCTGTAGTCGTGAGGGAAAATCAGGGAGGGCCTCCCAGAGGCAGTGATGTCTGCAATGAGGCCTGGAGGATGGTAGGAATTAACAGGTCAAAGGATAAGGTACTGGGAGTGACACAAGCATATAGCAGGTAGAAAGAACACACAGATTCTTTAAAACACTGCTTTCTCAAACCTCAAGGTACTTACAAATCATCTAGAAATATTGTTCAAAATGCAGTTTCTGATTCAGTAGGTTCAGGGTGGGATATCTCCAACATTTCCAGAGAATGCTGATCGGCTGGTCTCTGCTTCACACTTCCCTGTAATGGCAACGTTCTAGCTATAATCTCAGGAGGAAACAGCAAATCATCTCAGGATGGCTGCCATGAAACTTGCCAGAGGCTGGCAGCTGGGGACTGCTGGACAGGGAGAGAATAGGAGAAGGGAGACTTGAGAGGCTGGTCACTGCCTAAAGGGCAAGATCATAAAGGGCCTTATAAGTTAAGAAGAGAAAGAAAGAAGGGGAAGAAAGAAGTTATAAGTTATAACTTCTTATAACTTCTTAACTTATAAGTTAAGAAGAGAAAGAAAGAAAGAAGAACCTAGAATAGCAAAGAGAACTTCAGCTGCCAGTTGGAAAGATGGGTTGAAGGGGAGAGGGAACCATACAGAGAGGAAAGAAAAGACTTGATGGTGCTGGAACTAAGACAGGGGAAGACTTGGACAGATACTGAAAGGTTGAATCAACAGTTGAGTCACTGGTTTGCTTAAGGGATGAAGGGAAGACTCAAGAAAAACTCTCCATAAGGGCCTCAAGTTTGTTTCATTTGCCTCCAGTTAATACAAAACAACCAAGCACATTGAGGGTGGCTGTTCATCAATGGCATACACAGGCAATGTCTTCTCCCTCTGACGTGCTCCTGCTGATTTTGAAAATTGTCAACCTGCTTTGTTCAAACTACCTTAAAACTGCCTTAGTGTTCCTACTAACTACTCAAGACCTCCCAGGGAAACACAAAACTCAGAAAGGAATTCCATACTTCAAAGTTTAACTTACTTTTGTATATTACTCTCTCGCTGGGAATGTGTTAGTCTTCTCAAATTACCTATCGTTCTTCAGAGCAAGGGCCATGTTAAACCCATTATTTCCATTCCCCCACAGTTCTGGTGGCTAAATAGGCACTTAATAAAAAAGCTAGTTGACTAATTGGTAGAATAACATCCAGATAATTATGTATCAATGCTATTTGTTATCTCATAGAATCACAGAGTAATTACAGTAACATCTGTAAGGTGCTGAGTGTTTTACATGCTTTATAAATACCATCATCTTCTTTGGATCAGCAGAATCCTCTGAGACCCTATGGCCAGGCAATTTAGACAATAATGTGTTTGACTACAGCTTCTCTAAATTACTTTGATAGAACAGAAGCCTATCCCATTACCGTTGAACTCCACTGCCATCTACTGTTCATATGTAAAGTAGCATATTATGCTCCCCCAAATTCTATTCACTATTGAATGTTTTGGTTTCCTCAGATCTCAAGGGCTTTCCATGCTTTGAGCTTCAACCTAGAGTAAATGTAATTTTCCCTGTTATAATGAAACTTTGTAATAGTTCCGTGTTAGCAATCCAGCCTGATAGCGACAATTTTCTTTCATGGGCAAAAAGAATTTATGACTTTATGGAATAGTAAACATTTTTTACTTAAAGAGGCGTGTTTTTTTAATAGTCTCCCCCCTCCACAAAACTGAAAGAAAAAGTGATGGAATTACTGCAGAATTTCTCCCACATCTGGCAGATATCCCTAAACTGGACATTTTTCTTGGCCACACTGTATTCAGAGTGTAAACCTTATTCATCCTTCAAGGTCCTCCCTTAAAAGGATGCTTTATCTGTAAAACTATCCCTAATCCTTCACTTTAGAATTAAACTTTCCCTTCCACAGTTGGTAATTGTCATATGAACCACATAAGGGAAGAAAAATATAAAAATTCCAGTTTGAAAAATAGTTTTATCAATCACTTCCCTCATCTTTCCTTCTTTGTTGGTTCCTGTTTTTCTTCTGCAGACAAATAAGCTGGACTCTCAGCTATAACAATATTATAAAGTGCTTTAAGAAGGGAACAGTTTAGAAAGGACAGGACAGAGCATGGACAAGGGTTGGGTGACGTGATAAGGTCGTGCAACTGACTGGTGAATATTGTGAGATTTTGGCCAACTCACAGTTCTTAGATACTACGTGGTGAGGATTTCAAAGGTCAATGAAGTAACAGCAGACCAAAAGACGTATTTCCCCTCTATTTTAGAATGAAAAATGTCAGTTTTGGGGAAGGGCGTGAGAGAGGAACCAGAAAAGAGAAATCATTTGAATAAATTTCCACCATAATCTAGGAGGGTGGGGAGGCTGTGCAGTGGCGACCAATGCACCAGCGTCTTGGACTTCACAGAGTTCAGGCATTGCTACAGATTAACTGAGTGGCTGGCCTCTAGCAAGCCACCTGGGTGTCCCTATGGGAGAAGATTAATCACTTCTTGTATCTACATCTAAGTCCTTTTCTCAGGTGTTTTTATGCTTTTCGTCCCTTGTTCAAGGTCACACCTCGTGGCGCGGCGCTCTGGAAAGTCTGAGGCTGGGCCCTGGGTCCTCTTACACCTGGAGGCTTCGCTGGGCAAAGAAGCAACAGTTTCCATCCCTTGCTTGTCATCTCTTCATGGCGAATGCATAAACATCGTCACAATTTAAGGCGTTGCATGCTCTGAAGAACTCTAGGGGTGGATACCACTCAACGGGAGGGAGGCAAGACTGGGTCCGCCTCTCGTACCATGTCTCCAGGCCTTTTCTGATGAGGAATATGTGCAGATGGGGAAAGTGCGGTGAGAGGGTGCGAAGGCTAAGAAAGGGTTTTCCAGTAGGAACACAAATCTTCGGTTCTGGCTCTGTTTCCGGAGGCATTTCCAAGCGGACCTACGCGGGGACCAGTTTCCGGCCCTGACCAGGGCGTCTTCCGCGTTCTGGGCTCGCTGCTTCCGCCCGCGGTTGCTCCAGGCTCCCTGGCGAGCAGCTGCTTCCGCCCGCAGTCGCCAGCGGCTCTGGCTGGGAAGCTGGCCCGACAGCGGCCTTTTCCTCCTGCCCTCAGGCCGCCCACGTACGATCCGGTGCCCAGGTGACAGCAGCGATCTCTGCGGCCGTGGCGTGGGCCTCGGTGAGTGGACAGTGCGAGGGCGACGCCGGGCCTAACCCAGCCCCGGCTCTGGACTTCCCGCGTCCGGTGTCGAGGCAGCAGGCCTGAGTGTCCACCCCGGCCTGGGGCGGGGCTCAGCGTCCCCGCCCGACCCCGCCCCCCCGGCCCGCCCTGCGCGGGGTCAATCCGCTCTGCCCTGCGGCGGTGTAACTGCCGCGCACCTCCGGGGCTCGGCGGTCCCCGGGCTCCGGCCTCTGGGGGAACATGGAGTTCGCCGAGCTGATCAAGACCCCGCGGGTGGACAATGTGGTGCTGCACCGGCCTTTCTATCCTGCCGTTGAGGGGACCCTGTGTCTGACCGGCCACCACTTGATCCTGTCCTCCCGGCAGGACAACACAGAGGAGCTATGGCTCCTCCATTCAAACATCGACGCCATAGACAAGCGGTGAGTGCCCATCCCACCCACCGCCTGTGCAGAGGAAATGGGGGTCCTGCAGTGGCTCCTGAAAAAACACTCCCAGTGCTTTCCTTGCGTCCGGTCGCCCATCTGGCTTGCAGATTGAGCTCTCTGTGGCCTAGATTCAGGGTTTGAGTTTTAGAAAGCAGAAAGCCACACAGACAGGATACCTGATATATATGCATTGTGGTCTGAGTGGTCAGGGTTATCACGGGGTTACCATCCTGATTATCAGTTTGGAACATGTGGGTAGATTTTAGACATTTTTTTTCTTTTTAAATTTCTTCTTCTTGTTCCATCATATTTCTTGACTCGCTGTTGATTGTCAATCACAGTTCATGAATAGGTGATGGGATATGATTTAGGTAAAGTCTGTATTCACCACTTTTGAGGAAAACTCTTGTGGTTTTGAGTGTCTACGAACCCTTGCCACGAACCCTTGTTTGCTCCCATTCAGTTTATCATATTTCTTCTTATTTCTTACCTTCTGGGTCATCAATTTAGTACTTCTTCCTGCTGAGGGAGATTATAATATCGTCTATATATCTTTATTTTTTTTCTTTTTTAAGACAGGGTCTCTCTCTGTTGCCCAGGCTGGAGTGCAGTGTCACCATCATAGCTCAAACTCCTGGGCTTAGCGGATCCTCCTGTTCAGCATCCAGAATAGCTGAGATTACAGGTGTGCGCCACCATGCCCAGCTAATTTTTAAATTTTTTTTGTAGAGATAGGGTCTTGCTTTGTTTCTCAGGCTGGTCTAGAACTCCTGAGCTCAAGCAATCTGCCTGCCTGGGCCTCCCAGAGTGCTAGGATTATACACGTGCACCACTGTGCCCCCAGCCCCCTCACTTCAGCTTTTGGAAAGAACAGAGTTGGCTCTTAAGGGAAAATATAATTAATTATTATTATTTTATTTTATTTTTTGCACTCCAGACTTTTTACCTTTCCTAGGTAGTGTCTCAAAGTGAAAAAGTTACACTTTCATCTTTATTCAAAATTTCCCATCTCCCCAATGGCCCTTTGTAGTCAAACTCGGAGAGGGCAAATAAATTGGTTATCCAGTTTATGCTAAACTATAAATGAATCACAGCATTTTTTTCTGCCTCCCAGAAGAATTTGGATATTAAGAAGATTCCTGGAGAGGTTATGCCTTAAAATAATTTTTTTTCTTTTTTTAGAGACAGTCTCACTTTTATCACCCTCCGTAGAGTGCTGTGGCGTCACAGCTCACAGCAACCTCCAACTCCTGGGCTTAGGCAATTCTCTTGCCTCAGCCTCCTGAGTAGCTGGGACTATAGGTGCCTGCTACAAGACCCAGCTATTTTTTGTTGCAGTTTGGCCGGGGCCGGGTTTGAACCCACCACCCTCAGTATATGGGGCCAGCACCCCACCCACTAAGCCACAGGTACCGCCTCAAATAAAATAATTTCTAATGGTAGAATTTTAAGCAGTTTGGGTGAAGCAGTGATAGATTTATTTATTTACTTTTCGAGCAGAAGGCTTTTACTAGGCTTCTCAAATCATCTTTTCCTGCATAAAGTTTTCAGTGGTCCCTGCCTGCCTGCACGGTGAAGTCTACAGTGCTCACTTGTCACAGCAGTCTGTGTTCTGGCCCTGACCTATTTTCCTCACTCTCTCTTGCCATTGCTTTTCTGAACTCTTCTTGTGTTTGCTTTCATGGACCCGTTTTTAGTAGCCAGTCTTCACCGTTTATTGCTTGTGTATGTCCCCCATTCTCTCAGTTCTGTATTGTACTGACTGTACTTTGTATTGGAATGCTTGCTTCTCCCAAGTTTGTTAAATATTTATTGAGTGCCTTTATGTTCCAGCCATTTCGGGAGGCATTAAAGACTCCAAGATGAATAAAATAATAGTTCTGGTCTTTGGGGCGTTCCGAGGCTGCCATCTCACTGTTAACCCATCTACCAGTATTCACTTTAACAAGTTCAGCTGCCTCCTCCTTCACAGATTCTAATGTTAATCCCACAACTGGAAATAAGTCCTCTCATTTTGCAATTCTGTAGCTCTTCAGTTATGTCTTTTTCATGAGCATATATTCAGATTTGTATTTTAACAGTGCACATATACGTGTATTAGCTCTTTGAAGCCAAGACTCATGTCTGATATTTTTTCTGCTTCAAAATACCTGTAGACACATAGGAAATAAAAGGATTGGCCAGTGAGTGGGAAGTGGTGCTGCAGGATACAAGTTAGTCATATCTCTGTGACTGTCACCTCTCTTTACGTTCTTATTTACCTCTGTTTATGGTTACTTTTCACTCATTCATTTCCTCATCTTTACCTGGCATTTACTAGGTGCTGAGCTCTGTAGGGCATGAAGGAGGCGCATCAGACAGGGACCTTTTAATTTGTTAGTGGCCAGATGACAAACTAGCCACAGTCTCCGCAGTTCCTGGGGAAGTGGCCTGGCGTAATGGAAAGAGCACCAGTGAAGTGCTCACGTTGGAGTTTGTTACTTTTAAGATACGCAGTAGAACCTTCATAGTTAACCACCTCCCTCCACTGGCCATCTCCTTCAAGTTGACCTGATTTTTATAGACTGGACATGCACCACATGTACTCAGGGTAAGTTCCTCGTCTTGACCACCTCCATATGTTGACCAGTTTGGTACAGTCCTTTGAGTGGTCAACTTACAGAGGTTCTTTCTACTATATTTCCTTATCCTGTTGATGTCTGTAGAATCTGGAGTGACCATCATCTTTCTCATTCCTGATACTGGTAAATTGTGGCTTTTTTCTTCCTAATCAGCCTGGCTAGAGGTTAATCACTTTTGTTTTTATTTTTATTTTTTGAGACAGAGTCTCACTCCGTCACCCTCACCCTGGGTAGAGTGCCATGGCATCATGGTAGCTCACAGCAACCTCAAACTCTTGTGCTTAAGCGATTCTTTTGCCTCAGCCTCTCAAGTAACTGGTGCTACAGGACCCACCACAACCCCCTGCTATTTTGTTTTTGTTGTTGTTGTAGTTGTCATTGTCATTGTTCAAACACGGGCCAGGTTCGAACCACCAGCCCCTGTGTATGTGGCTGGTGCCCTAGCTGCTGAACCCTGGCTGCTGAGCTACAGGCGCCTGAGCCTTTTTTCTTTTGAGACAGAGTCTCACTCAGTCTCCCTGCAGTTGAGTCCCCTGGCATCATAGCTTACACTAAGCAGTGGTTTTCAACCTTCCTAAAGCCACAACCCTTTAATATAGTTCCTCATGTTGTGGTGACCCCCAACCATAAAATTATTTTCGTTGCTATTTCATAACTGTAATTTTGCTACTGTTATAAATGGTAATGTAAATATCTGATATGCAGGATGTATTTAGGTGACCCCTGTGAAAGGGTCATTTGACCCCCAAAGGGGTCGCGACACGCAGGCTGAGAACCACTGGCTTACAGCAATCTTAAACTCCTGGGCTCAAGTGATCCTCTCACCTCAGCCTCCCAAGAAACGGGGACTACAGGTGCCTGTCACAATGCCCAGCTAGTTTCTTTAGAGATGGAGTCTTGCTCTTGCTCAGATTGGGCTCAGACTCCTGAGCTCACCAATCTGCCTGCCTCGGCCTACCAGAGTGAGCCACCATGCTCAGTTGGTTTATTACTTTTATTGATCTTTTTTCTCTACTGTTTTCTATTTCAATTATTTTTACTCTGATCTTTATTATTTCATTTCTTCTGCTTTGTGTTTAACTTGTTCTTTTACTAGTAAAGTGGAATCTGAGGTTAATATAGGTTCTCTGAACTATAAAATTTCCCCTGCAATCTGCTTTAACAGCATTCCACAGTTTGATATTTTATATTTTTGTTTTCATTCAGTTTATAATACTTTCTAATTTCCCTTTTGATTTCTTCTTTGACCCATAGGTTATTTATGTTATTTGGTTTCTGAATGTTTGGGTATTTTCCAGAAATTTCTGTGTTATTGATAGCCCATTTAATTTTATTGTGGTCAGATAATTTACTTTGTAGGACTTGAATCCCTTTAAATTTGTTTAGACTTATTTTACAACCCCAAACATGGTCTATCTTGATTCCATGTGCCCTTAAAAGGAATGTGTACTCTGCTAGTGGATGGATTATTCTATGAATACAAATTGGGACAGATTGGTTGCTGGAGTTGTTCCAGTCTTCAGTAGCTTCTGATTTTGTTCTACCAGTTGTCGAGGTGAAGAGTCTTGAAACCTCTGACTGTAATTGGGGAATGAATCCTTTTTAATTTTATCAAGTTTTGCTTTATGGATTTTGAAGTAGTATTATTAAGTGCACATACATTTAGGATTGTAATGTCTTCTTGATCAATTATGGCATTATGAAAAGACTTTATGCTTGGTAATATTACTACTTTGATAGTAAGATAGCTGGCACTGATTGGTGTTAGTGTTATATATATTTTTCACCACTTTATGTTTAACCTGTTTGTTTCTTTATATTAAAAGCATATAGTTGGGTCATTTTCATCTGATCTGACCATCTCTCCCTTTAATAGGGGTGCTTGATCCCATCATGTTTAATATAATTATTGAGATGGTTAGGGCCAAGCCTGCCATTTTGTTTTATGTCTTCATACTGTATGTTTTCTGTTTGTTCAATTTGATCTTTTTTGTCTTTTTTCTCTTTTTTTTCCTTCTTTTGTATTGCATTGTTTTAAGTGAATCATTTTTATTGGCTTATTACCTGTAACTCTTTGGTGTTTTATTTTTGTGATTGCCTTATGGTTTATTGTATAATTTTAAATTATTGCAGTCTGTCTCCAAGTGATATTATACCTATATATATGTATACACATTATACATAATGTGTCATAATATATACATATCATAATATATACATTGTAAGGTTGTGATTAATGCCACAAGTTACTAAACTCTATACTATGTGTAGTGTAGGAACCTTACAATAAATAATACACTTTCATTATTTAAGCATGTAGTTAACATTTCCAGTGCTCTTCGTTTCTTTTTGTAATTCTGTATTTTCATCTGGTGTCATTTTCTTTCTTTGTTTTTTGAGATAGAGTCACCCTCATTTGCCCTGGTAGACTGCTGTGGTGTCCTAGCTCACAGCAACCTCAAACTCCTGGGCTAAAGTGATCCTCTTGCCTCAACCTCTGGAGTAGCTGGGACTACAGGACTTGGACACAAAGCCCAGCTAGTTTTTCTACTTTTAGTAGAGACGGGGTCTCGGGGTCTCGCTTTGCATGGGTTGGTCGCCACCTCCTGAGCTCTGGTGATCCGCCCACCTTGACCTCCCGGAGTGCTAGGATTACAGGCATGGCCCCACGCCTGGCCCGAGAGCTTTTCTTTTAACATTTGCTGTAGTGCAGATTTGCGGGTGTTGGATTTTTTTAATTTTGTATGTCTTATTTCATCTTTATTTTTGAAAGATAATTTTTGTTGAGTATAAGATTCTGTGTTGAAAGTATTTTTGTAAACTTTCAGTAGTTTAAAGATGTTGGTCTTGCTTCTTCTCACTTGTGTTGTTTACCAGGAGAAATCTGTTGCTAGCCTTATTTTTGTTCCTCTGTAACTAGTCTTTTTTTCCTCCTTCTGGCTTTTTTAAAGATTTTCTCTTTATCACCAGTTTTGAGTAGTTTGATTTGGTATACGTTGTTGTAGTTTAATTTCTTTTGCTTGGGGTCTGTTGAGTTTTTTGGATCAGAGGTTGGTTTTTCAGGTGGGAAGGTAAATCAGGTCCCTGTCATCCCTCCTATACTGGAAGTTGAAGTGCTAAGAGGACAATTTTTGAACATCTGTTTTAATGAAAGGCATTTCATTGTATTGATCAGTTGTGCATGTCTTGTGGAATCTTTTTAAATAGGATTTGACCTGTGTTAATATTTGCCTGTCAAAATTCACACAGTAGTGACTGTGAGACCTGGGAGTGCTTACAGTTAAGGTGGTACATGAAGAGAGTAGATGTAGGAACTGGGTAAAATGTAAATGAAATTATCAGATTTTTTTTTTTTTTTTTGAGACAGAGCCTCAAGCTATCCCCGTGGGTAGAGTGACATGGCATCACAGCTTACAGCAACCTCCAACTCCTGGACTCAAGCGAATCTCCTGCCTCCACCTCCCAAGTAGCTGGGACCACAGGCACCCGCCACAACACACGGCTATTTTTTTGGTTGCAGCTGTCATTGTCGTTTGGCGGGCCCAGGCTGGATTCAAACCCGCCACCTTAGGTGTATGTGGCTGGCGCCTTAGCCACTTGAGCCACAGGCGCCGAGCCAAAATTTAACAGCTTTTGATCAATCTAAGAATTCCTAGTTCAGGCACTATTAGTGGGGAAGCATTGAAGCAATCAGTGACAAGGCAAAACAAAAAAAATCAGAGCTATCAGCAGGTATAAACAAAACAAAACAGTAAGAACTATCCCAATGAAGGTAAAATTGAAATTAAATTTGTATGAAACTTACTGATAGAAAATGATATGACATTTACTCTAGTAGAGATACTGTAAGTTAATCATTTTTAAATATTGAAAAAGATACTTTAGGCTGGGCATGGTGGCTCATGCTTGTAATCCTAGCACTTGGGAACCTGAGGCACGTGGATTGCCTGAGTTCGCAGGTTTCAGACCAGCCTGAGCAAGAGCAAGACCTCATCTCAAAAAATAGCTGGGCATTGTGGCAGGTGCCTGTAGTCCTAGGTATTTGGGAGGCTGAGGCAAGAGGATTGCTTGAGCCCAAGAGTTTGAGGTTGCTGTGAGCTATGATGCCACAGCACTCTACCAGGGATGACAAAGTGAAACTCTGTCTCAAAAAAAAAAAAAAAGAAAAAGGTATTTTAAATGGACTGCTGCAAGGTTGGAAATAAGCAAAATCTGAAATAAACTCTTTTCCAGTGTTTTAGAAATCTGTCTCTACAAATACCGAACACATTAATGTAGGTCTTTATTCTTTGAAGTGAGGCCCCAGATCAAATAATCTCCATTAAATGAATTAGCCTAATGTACATCACTGTATGTATTTGAAATTAAAAAAAAAAAACACCTATGTTGTAAATTATAGCTCACATTGTAATGATGCAGACTTGTCTCCTCCATGATGAGGGTAATTAGGGAGAAGAAAGTTGAATATAGATAGTGATTATAACTACATTCTCTTTTCAAAGACAATCATGTATTTGAAGTTAAGAATATTTGTTCATAAGCATGATTTGTAATTTCTTACAGATTTGTGGGATCACTGGGTACCATCATCATAAAATGTAAAGATTTTCGAATTATACAGTTGGATATTCCTGGAATGGAGGAATGTTTGAATATAGCCAGTTCCATTGAGGTGAGTATTTTGGAGGCAGAATCTGATTGATTATATCATGACTCAATACAGCTCTTAAGTTTCCTCACTAGATCCTTGGTCACATTCTCTGACTCAGATTCTGCAGGTGATAGGAAGAGCCCCCCAGATTCACTGTTATAAGAGTGTATGTTGTTGACTTACGGCAGTGTTTACTGTTATTCTTTTTATATGTGTAACGACAATTCCATGAATTTCTTAGAATTCCAAGGAATTGCGGTCTAATGGAATTTCCTTGAGTTCATATTGATCAAATCATAGATACTCTTTCATTCTAGTACCTACGAGTGCTTATTTGGGAAAACCATTAGAGGATTTAGTAAACAGGTTCTTGTGGAGAAATTTTAAAGTTTGCTTGATATTTCATAGTCACTATGCAAGTCTTGATATTTTCTCTGTGAATACGCATGTGAATTTGCAAACTCATTTTTCTATTTAGTGGGTTTGCCCCAGTAAAATCCTATGTGGAATTTTAAACCCATAAAACAGATACAGTTAGAATTGGTTTGGGTTATGTTATGATGGGCAGGTATTGATTAGAGAGAAGCCCTCATGAATTTGACCTTTCCCACCGCCCTCTGAGGGCTTCCTGGGAGATACTGAAAACCACTAGAGACAGTTAATTGAGGGCAGTGTTTACTTTCCTAGCAGATTAGCAGCTAGAATCGGAATTGTGTTTCTTGAATATACTAGTGTATCTTTAATAAATGAAATCTTAGGGTGGTGCCTGTGGCTCAGAGGAGTAGGGTGCCAGCCCTGGCCAAAACCTGCAAAAAAAAAAAAAAAAAAAAGAAAGAGATGAAATCTCAGAAGTTTGAGTAGAAATATTAATAACATATTACAGTGTGATTATTGGGCCTTACTGTAATAGCACAGTTTGATTCTGGATTTGACTACTTGGTCCCTTGTGAGTATTGATAAGGTACATGACCGCTCTGACAGTTAGTTCCTTTTTATTGAATGAGTGTAATTTTCATTTTAAGGCTATCATAAGAATTATATTAATTGATGTATATAGAACCCTTAGAATACTATTTGGCAAACAGCAGCTGCCATTGGAGGGCCTCTGTCACTTGCCTAGTATACTTTTGTGTTGGGGCTTTTTTTTTAATTGGTGTTATAAAACCATGTAACATAAAATTTATAATCCACGGCTGGTTTGGATTATAAAACACTTTGGGAGGCTGAGGCTGGAGGATGGCTTGAGGCCAGGAATTCAGGCTTTAGTTACCTACGATTGTACCACTGCCCTCCAGCCTGCGTGACAGAGGGAGACCCTGTCTCAAAAAAAGCCCAAAACTTTAGGCTCTAACCATGTCTAAGTGTATGGCTTAGTATTATCTAATAATTATATTCACTTTGTTGGGCATTAGATCTCTGGGACTTTTTCATTTTGGAAAACTGAATCTATATCCATTAACCAGCCACTCCCCATTTCCATCTCCCCTAGTCCATGATAAGCACCATTCTGCCCTCTGTGTCTCTGAATCGACTACTTTAGATCTTAACATACGTGGAATCACACAGCATTTGTTGTTTTGTGACTGGCTTTTTTCACTTAGCATAATACCCTCACAGTTCATCTGTGTTGTAAATTGTGAAAGAATTTCCTTCCTTTTTAAGGCTGAATCGTATCCCATTGTAAGTATATATATATGGTGGGACTTTTATTTCTTTTGTAAAGCAATTAATTGTCACCAATGGTTGTAGTCTTTTGCTTGATTTTAGTAAATGTGAGTTTCCGTATATCAATTTGCTTAAGACAGGAAATGTTTGCTTTACGTTTGTATAAACAATATTGACTATTGATTCAGGTTAAAAATATTAGATAATCTT